GATTTTTGCTATATTTTATGAAAACGTATTTCTCCTCGTATTTCATCCCGCTTATCGTAACACAATCACAATAAAATTGAAAAACACAAAGAAAAACGTCGAAGATTTTCCTACACAACACTGAGTTCATCGTTGTTACAACATACTTTTAGTTAAAACAATTTACGATTTAGTGTTCACTACTTTTAGAACTAGATTAATTCGTATTATTAACTGGCTTATCCATCCGTCCACCGAAAAATCGGTTATGTATTCATGGAGCGATGTTTGTTCCTCCACGACTTAGATACAACAACTGGCTAGTAAACGCCTATCAAATTTTGTGAAGTTTTTTGATTGATCACTTTATTTCGAATTAAAGAAACAGATCACAGTAGAAAATTAATTAAATGCAAAACTTAGGTAAATGCCAATGTGTTTCTTCTTCAGTCAAAACTCTTTTGCTGCACAATATAAATATTTCGCCGCATCTTGTAATGATTCCTCTTTGTAATAATGTAATAAATCATTTTTCCATAGTTTCCATGATTTTGAATCTAGAAAGCAAGAAAAGAAGAGTGGGAAAATACACTGAACTAATAAAGCGACTAACTAACCTCGAAATTTTTGTATTTGACGTTGTAACACAGTTATTTGTCTACCATTTTCATAACGATATGATTTGACAGCATCTAACACATCGTTATGTTCAACGTCCAACAAACATTTACACAACTCTCCTGATGGCTTTACTCTTTTGACTAGAGGTTGAATACATAACCATAAATCCCATATATGAAATTTATGTACGATACGTTCGGTAAGCGATCAATCTCTTCCGAGACCATCATCATCGCCATTTTGATGATGATCGTCGCCCATTGATAATATTTTATCAATCATTTGCATTTCAAAACTATAATAATCTCGGTAAGTTTTCATTCGGCGCATACGTTAAAATTTTGGGATATATCACCATTACCATGTATAGTTGGTACGCGATTTTGTTCAGTTGCATGTTCATTAAATATTTTTAGACCTTGAACAGTCATTGAATGTATCGAATGTGCAACAGTTTCATTAAAATTTCTAGATAAACGTGCATGACGAAATTCTGAAGGACATCTATTGGAGCCCTCAGCCATAGATGCTATGGTACCAATCAAAACAAAGAGTAAGTAGTTCATTCTGAAAGAAAAGGTATGGGACGTCATATACATGCAAGATAAACACACATTTCTGAAAAAGAGATACCTTACTTTTATGTGTTTGGTAAGATAGAAAATGGAAGCTGACGGTGTAAAGTGAGGTTATATATACATTCTGTGTTACTAAATCTTCAACGTGATATGTCAGTATCTACACAAACGGAATGTTTGTGTCTTTCTTTTAATGTATCTCTCCTTTTCACGGGAAATGGCATACATGCAACAGAAAAACGAATTCGTACCTATGTCAGAAGTATGATCCTGTGGGATAGACTAAAGCTGTATAGGTACCTCTTCTAGGCTTTTATGAGCCTTACTGCTGAATTCTACAGATGAATTTTGCTTTTGCCAAGCATGTACGACATTTTAGGAAGTTAACAAGCTTTATATATCGTGTTCAACTTGATGGATTATGCCAAAAAACGATGACACTTACTGATGAGTCATTGTTTATGAAAGATGAAACACCTTCGTGTTTCCTTGCTCTTTCTTTTTTTCGTAGAAAATGCTACCTGAGATCAAACTACTATTAGTTAGGTAAACGTAGAATGCAGAAGCAAATACGAACACAAATATTAGCTGCATCATACGATTTTTACTTATAATTTTCTCTTTATGTATATCACTTTCTCAAGTTGTATCTCACTGTTCCCTAACAACAATTAGCTTAGCAAAAAACTGCCATACATGCGTTAACACGTCGCACTATCTACAACATCTTGTACTATACTCGAACAATTCAAAATGTTACTGTTTTAGTGCTCTATTCACTGAAAGTTCAAATTGATCATGAAAATTCATAGTCCAAAATCGAAATATTCTGTGTCTATACAGGCTATGGTTTGTGATAAGACCTTTGATCACCTGGCAGCAGATGTGTATCATTCGTTCGGTAGTTGGCTTTTCTTTTGGTTTTTACTTGTTTTTTGTATTGTTTCCTCTTTTTCTAGTTTTAGCCGCCACAGTCAAGTAAATGAGGAGCAGTATCTCGGAGCGTAGCTTTGCTAGTATCACTCTCCAAAGTATCAGTCAATAGACTTTCCATCTTATCATCTACACATTACACTAATCTCTTTAATCATTGCATCGCGATTTTCATGACCGTGTTCTGGTGTTTTAACTCATAGCCTCAAAGCAGTACATATCATAACCGGTGTAGCAAAGGTTTTGATAGAATGTTTAGTTATAAACTTTGATTATATGCTTTCATCATAGTTTTACTAACACTATCTTAAATCAAAGCACTATCGTCGGTATAAATGCTCTTCGAAGAGTATTACAGTTTTCCACTGCGGTCGATATATTAGACTAACTAGCAGTTGTTTGCTTCATGACCGCTGCCATGATTGTCTTCTCAATTTTTCCCATCTATCGATTTGGTTATTTTTAATTCAAAGTACGGATTGCCTGCAAAGTTTTACAAATGTTTACATGAATCTTTATATGCATATCTGTTTTAATTTGCTGTCCAAGAAAGTTCGGATGAAATTTTCGTTCTTCTATATCTCAGCCTAGGAGCATTGTGAAATGTTAATATAAAACATAGCAGTATCTTCTAGCAACGTCGTCTTCAAAATAATTTGAACGGACAAAGGGGTTCGGTGTCATGAGTCAAATACTGTAGATCACTAGAAAACCATTCTGCACAACGTGCTACTGAGGAAAGTTGCTGCTAGTTTAAAATAGTCAGCTATAGGTGATACAAAAATTTAATCACATGGTTTGATAGTCTTTTTTAAAGCCTATCGAACGGACTATAAACATATGTGCTTTAGTCAAGAGAACTTCAAATTCAAGAAAAATTCAAAAGAATTTCTCGTTTTCTCATGTACAATGGAGAGTTCAAACAATTCGCTATAAAATCATATAAATGCAATGTTGCCTGCATACGTACTTGTGCGATCGTAATTATGTCCTGAAATGGAGGAATTTTGGCAAAAACCGAGTATTCGAAAATATTTGATCATCCATAAGCAACTAATGCCAAACTTTTTTGGAATGGTACGATGGATAGAGTTCTTAATAGACTATCTAACCATGCACTCTGATTTCAAGTTATGTTTTTTCAGAAGAGAAAAATCTTAAAATACATCTTTTATGGTGTTGCGTGCGGAATGGATTTTCAATGATTTGCAGTATTTGACTCATACCACCGAACCGCCATGTCCGACCAAATTATTTTGAAGACGAAGTTTCTAGAAGACACTAAGGGCTATCTTTTAAAAAAGATTAGTATTTCACAATTAGGTATGTACCAAGTCTTGCCGCTCGGGTTCCTTTAGGCTCGTTCGGTACAGATCCAACTAAGCATGACATTTATCCTAAAAGCGTTTTTTAGGTTAGTAACGTGACGTTCTTGAGCATGTTTTTTAATCGATTTCAAAATTGCAGTTCTCTTTCAGTAAAAAAGCTTCGTAATAATGTGCATCAGTGCATAACAACTGTCCTGTGTCGAGATAAATAGCCGACATCTTCTTCAACGGAGTTAACTCTAGAAAAATGATTTTGAAAAATGATCAGTTTCAAATGATTCAACGAGCACTACAACTGACACTATATTTCTACATTAATAGCTATTCTATCTCAGCAAGCATATCGTGACCAGCCGACTCGTTGCATGCCTATTCACAATGCTCCTTGACTGAGATACAGAAGAACAAAATTCTATCAGAACTTTTGTAACATTCTTTATGATAAATTTTTAACGAAACATTACACGTGTTTGATTCTAAAATTAGGTGCATCAGAGATTTTCTTCTCGTGAACAGCGATTTTGGAAACAAAGTTAACATTCTCGATTCTATAGTAACCAGACAGTTACACATATAACTGGTTTTGTCTTCCTACCCGACTAAAACTCAGTGTTGTGTAGGAAAATCTTCGACGTTTTTCTTTGTGTTTTTCAATTTTATTGTGATTGTGTTACGATAAGCGGGATGAAATACGAGGAGAAATACGTTTTCATAAAATATAGCAAAAATC